CTTTGTTTAAATATTTAAAAAGTTATAAAAGAAATAATAATAAAAAAAGTTTATTAATTATTTAAAAATATATTTAAATAATATAAATTTTAATGTATTTAAATAAAATATTTAATGAACTAATAATATAAAATATAGTTTTTTATAATAAATAAATATTTTATTATAAATAGGTTATTAATTACTAAAAATATTAAGAATTATAATATAATAATAAAAAAATTAAATATAAAAAAAGATAGGTTTTTATTTAAACTAGGTTTATATCTAGTATAATAAAGTATTAGTATAACTTAATTATAGTTTTTTTTATTATTATAAAAGATAAAAGTACTAGTTAAGTTATAAACTTTATTAAGGTAATTTTAATTAATTAATGTCTCTTAGTTTTCTTATATTAAACCTGCTAAGAAATTATTATAGATTATTTTTATAAGCTTTATTTAAACTATATAACTATTATTAGTAATATAACTTACTTTAATTAAATTGATATATATTATATTTAAACTTTAGATAAACTATATTAATTTTATCTTAAAAAGGATTAAGTTTATATTATATTAATATAAATCTAAGTATTTAAGGCTAAGTTTAATTTTTATATTAAATAAACTAGCTATTATTATTTATAATCTTTACTATTATCATCTAATAAATATATAATATAAATAGTATTTACTATAACTAAACTATATTATTATAATTAAGAGCTTTTAAGTTTTATAATAAAGTACTTATTTATAAAGTTAATACTATTTAATAACTAATCTAATAATATCTATATATCAATAATATCAAATATATAAATATTATTAATAACTTATAAAGAATAAAAGCTATAATATAATATATATATATATATTTATAAACTACATTTCTATAATAAATAAACTATATATAACCTATTTATTGATATATTAAGTAAATAAAGAAGACCCTATAGACGTCGGTATATACTCTGCTTCTTCCTTATATCGTTTATTTTCAGCCAGTTGCAATTGCAACATCAACTATACAGCAACATCAGCTAGCATTCCAGCTACCGTGTCGAGGCGATTCTAAATCTACAGCGAAAAATGTCTCTTTCTCATAGTCCAAGTCGTGCTTGAGGGCCTAGCACTCTCGAGTGCAAGCCCGTTACCAGGCCTATCGAGTGTTGTGTATGTCGAGAACGAGAATATCCTGGGCTCCTACACGCGTTAATTCGTCCATAACCAGAGCAATCTTTTTTTTCTCGACCATGGAGCTAACAGCGACCCAACCTTCAGCGTCAAGCTGCGTGATGGTGGCAGCGCGCTTGCCAGGGGTAATCTTGGTCGCTTCGACAAGCTTAGAGCGTTCAACGTTGTATTGACATAGCACAAACTTCTGCGCTGTGATGACACCGCGGATCCGAGAGGCAATAAGCTCGACCAACTCGGCGTTGGATGGCTTCGTTGACTTGATCAAGATGGCACTGGACTCGACTACAGTATCGATGGCTTTCAGCCCAGCGGCGCGCATTGTTTCCCCAGATTCTGTTGCAGGTCAGCCTCAAACACCCATTGGATCGGTGCTGTGTCATGTAGCTTACCCACTAGATCAACAATACCCTCAGCAACATTAAGGGCGCAAGCAGCCTCAACACTGCCACTTAGCTCAATGATGTTGGTACGCAAAGGCTGCGCAGGTGTTTGCTCGACCGACGAGGGGTCGAGTCCAGCCTCGATCTTGGCAAAGTGTGCAGCCGTCAGATTGGGGAAACTAGTACCGATGGTGAGGCCGACCAAATCCGCTGTCGAGATGTATTTGCCCCGTTCGGGAACTTGGACTTGGAGCTGGCAAGCACCGAACCCCAGGTCCATTACCGTCTCGCATCCGGCACCGTTATCCGTGGTAGGCGTGTGGGTTTTCACGCCGGCAGCATATTCCTTGACTTGATCCCAACCAGTGATGCCGAGGTCGACTCGTCCCTGGCCTACAAAGGTTGGGATATCGGCAGCGGGGAGAAATATCAGCGCAATATGGAGATTCTTGACGAGCGCAATGTCAAGTCGATTCTCGCGACGGAACTGGATGTCGGCACCTTCAAGCAGGTTCAGGGTAGCGGCATTGAGTCTGCCCTCTATAATTATACGTCAATAACGTGTTTGAGGATTTGCGAAGCCACAACAACGGCATGTCAATCTTACTTTTTGGGACGGCAAACAAAAGTCGGCCTTCTAGGCTGTTGGCAAATGAACAAGTTAGCAGAAGGACGCGGGGCAAGTGGCTGGCTGGTGACGCGACTAGATGAGGAAGAAGGATCCGTACTGGTTAACAAGATCCATTTGACGACAAAATAAAAAGTATTGAAGTACAAATGGTAGCGAGATGTTGGATTTGAAGGTAGGCAGGTGTACGGCAAAGTTGAGATATCTACCGTGAGTCAATAAATACTACCTGGATGGAGCTGTCGAATTTCTGCTCCGACAGCGGGGCAGACCGACATAGGTAGTTAGGTACTCTATTTTTAAGTACACGTGCCCGCACCCGTCGCTTCGTGGTAGGGTACTACAGATTATATAGCCACCATAGCCACCCAGACAGCAACTGTAAAGGCATTAACTTTGATATATAATAATTAACTCTATAAAATAGTTAGTTAAAAACTAATTAGATCTATTACGCTATAATACTCTTACTATTTTCTCTACTTCTTTTTATACTTTTTTTAATACTTTTTTTACTTAATATTAGTATATATTACCTTCTTTATATTATAATCTTTATAGTATTTAACTAAAATGAAATTCCTAATAATAGTATTAGTACTAGTTCTATATTAGAGAGTTCTATCTAAGTTAGTATATAGATTAGAGGTTTAAATTCTACTAAAGGTATTTTATTTTAATTTTATAAAAGCTAAGTAATAATAACTAATATATAAAAGATATAAAATAAGGTAACTATAAGTATAATTAAATATAAAAAG